TCCCCAGGCACAAATATAGGCTGGGGGGAGAATGGCTGGAGGGCAGCCCTGAGGAGATGGACTTGGGGGTGGGAGGAGATGAGAAGCTCCACATGAGCCACTGGTGAGCACTGGAGCCCAACTGCATCCTGGGCTGCATCAACACAAGTGTGGCCAGCAGGGCCAGGGGGGTGATTCTGCCCCTCTGCTCTGCCCTGGTGAGACCCCACCTGGAGTTCTGTGCACAGTTCTGGTGCCCTCAGCACAAGAAAGATATAGACCTGTTGGGGAGGGTCCAGAGAAGGGCCACCAAGATGATCCAAGGCCTGGAGCAGCTCTGCTATGAAGACAGGATGAGAGAGTTGGGGTGTTCAGCCTGGAGAAGAGAAGGCTCCAAGGACACCTTGCAGCACTTTCCAGTACTTGAAAGGGGCTCCAGGAAGGCTGGGGAGGGGCTTTTCATCAGAGAAGATAGTGACAGGACAAGGGGTAATGGTTTTAAACTGAGACGGGGGAGATTTAGGTTAGATATTAGGAAGAAATTCTTCACTATAAGGGTGGTGAGGAGCTGGGATGGGTTGCCCAGGGAGGTTGTTGATGCCCCATCCCTGGAAGTTTTTAAGGCCAGGTTAGATGAGGTTTTGTGCAACCTGATTCTAGTGATTCTATGATTCTATGCTAATTGGCTGCACCACAATCTCATATGCACAGCAGGTTCTACCATGTGCAGTAACTGGAAAAATCCACTACAGCATTAGAATACCACCTATGTTTGTGATCTTTTACAGATAAAGGGGCTTTAGTCCCAAATATACAAATTAGAATCATATACAAATAGAATCATAGAATCATTAAGGTTGGAAAAGACCTCTAAGATCATCAAGTCCAACCAACAATACCAACTAAGCCACATCCTGAAGTGTCACGTCTAGGAAGTTATTAGTGACACAAAAGGCTAATGAAAGAGGACACATTTGACAGATTCATCTCTAGTAATAGGAGGAGAGACATTTGGTCTTTTACCTGGAACTGGAGAGGAATGTGAGCAGGATAAAAAAACAATGTTGGCATTTATGGCATATCAGCATCAAGGTGAAACCAAAAGGGAGCATTTTGTTTAAATAGTGTTGTACTGTAAAAATAGCTTATTTTTATCTTCCATCACATTTTGTTGAAACTCTCCTGG